CCTTTGTGCTCCTTTTGTTGACTGTCCTCAAGCTAATACAAGAACGCATTTGCCTGCAATCGGGGACCCCCTATTGTCCCCCTTTTGTTTGTACTTTAACATGTGAGGAAGACCTCCCACATTGTTTTGTACACGATCGTAGATTGGGGACCTCTCGGGAATAGGGGACCCTATTGTCCTCTATTGTTTGACGTCCTCTATTGAATGCAGAAGCAAACTCACACACATGTGTATGCCCCTTCGGCTTCACTTTATAATGTTTTCTATACGAGAAGCTTATTAGGTGCATCCTTGGCAATTAGGTGGAAAGACTGAATTACAAATACCAAAGTCCTGGCCACTGCTCAGATCCCATCCTGATCACCCTGTTCCAACAGCGCCCCCTCCACTAGTTAGGCCACTTTTAACTTATGGCGACAGGAGCAATATCCAAGGACATCCTCTGCTCTGCTCTGGCAAAAGAGCACAAATTCAACCAAGGTCGTCTTGAGCAATGCTTCTCCAACAGCGTGGAACTGGTGGCCTCTTCAGCTACCTGGGCATCACAGACCTGCCAACCTTTGGGATCGAAAAACTGTATTCTGAATCTCCAAAAGTTGTATTTTTCATAAAAAAAACTGTATTTTCAAAAATATGCATAGACGGGCTATACGAACAAATAAATGTGGCTGCAATGCTCCATTTTTAATACATCTTAATTAAAGTTATAAAAAAATGACCAGAGGTCTCCTTGCCAGTAGTAAACCCAATCAAACAATTTGCATGAATAAGGATATTGATCATATACCTTATTCATTAACAAACTGCTTTGAAAACTATTCAATGCAAGTCTACTTAAACATAAACTAAAGACTAGACTTCCTCATGTTTGAAATAAATAAACCTCTATTGCAGGTGAAACATTCATATGACTTCCGAATATAATCTAAGCTTATTCATGTCTTATCACGTCGCCGCCAAGTGCCAGTTTGATTCTTGAATCATAATTCACGTGCACGCTCTGAACAATGCTGAATTAAAAAAAAAATACACAGCAATCGAACAGAGTTTTATTTCAAACTTGGCCTAGGCCTCACCCGCAAAAAATTCAGGCCTACCCATAAAAAGAAATCAATTTCTTGCATTTGCTGGCTGATTTACCTAGTTCGGTATGGGCCGCCCGCTTTAATTGTTGATTTTTCTGATTTTTGAATTGGTTTCAGAACGAAGTATCAAACTTTACTATTCAAAAATGTTGACATAACGGAACACCACGTGCACTCACGTACATTGTGACTATGGTACACGAACATCAAAATGTATTCTGTGTATCGTGCATGCACTGAGAAAAAGAAAGTCTGTTGACTGCACGTTAGATCTGCCGTACGTACTCCTGCTTGTATGTGTGTGTGCAAATACAGACATTTATTTTTGCGGCAGGGGTGCCACTGCTTGAAGTATCGGCACTTCGGGAATGGTCTGGTTCTAGTTTGTGATACCATCTACATGATGTTCATCGTACAGTGGGAACAGCGAAACCAGATTCAGTTCTTGCATGCAGTACATCGTTTGCTTGGCTGCTTGCAATTTACGTTGTTTCAGCTAAGTTTATCCGGCAGAAATCTACACTCACAGCCGCTTTGAATTAGGATTTTTCCGGGCGTGTCAAATTGGTCAAAACCTGTATTTTATGGGGGAGAACGTACAGTCGCATTTTCAACAAATTCCCGTACAAAATATGGCAGAATTGTACTAGTTGGCAGGTCTGGCATCAATCAGAGGGAATGTTGCCCAAAGGCTATGAGGACATTCTCAAAATTGACAGTGCTCCATTCCCAAACAGGTCAAAAAGAGTAAAATTACATGTACCGGTCTGTTGCTAGAAAAAGAGCGGGAGGGGAGGGGGAAACTGGCTTTTTAGGATTGCTGTTTTATTTTTCAATATCTGAACTACCTTTAATATACTTCTGAAACGATGCTATCAGCCTGTGATCATAACAAGGAAAACTAGTACGGCAAAGCCGCCATAGCTCGCTGTCGAAGGCGGGAAGGGAGGCTGAAGGTAGGGTTGGGGATAGGCATTATGAAAGGAGATCAGGATTCTGGTTGATGTGCCAAGGTGTAGGGGTCAGTTTTTAAATGCCAACATAAATAGTCAACAAATGTCCTAATAAATACATGTACATGTACACATTTTTACATGGAAGTTTTCCATTGTTAGGGTATTAAAGACCCAGTTGTGGAGCCTTTTTGCAGCCCCACAGCGTCTTCTGTCCCCATACATGTATTACCATGGAAGAACTCTTGTGTAGTATCCACAAATGCGGAACATGAATGGGTATACATGTACATGCAGACGCCCCAAACCTTACCCCATCCCCGCCCCGCCCCTCCCCCAACCCACCATAACCCCCTATCCACCCCAACCCCCTATACCCACTCCATCCTCCCCCTACCCATTCCCACCCATTACCTACAAATCTCAATCCCACCCAAACTCCAATCCCTATCTCCTTCCCCTCCTAATAAATACATGTACATGTACACATTTTTACATGGAAGTTTTCCATTGTTAGGGTATTAAAGACCCAGTTGTGGAGCCTTTTTGCAGCCCCACAGCGTCTTCTGTCCCCATACATGTATTACCATGGAAGAACTCTTGTGTAGTATCCACAAATGCGGAACATGAATGGGTATACATGTACATGCAGACGCCCCAAACCTTACCCCATCCCCGCCCCGCCCCTCCCCCAACCCACCATAACCCCCTATCCACCCCAACCCCCTATACCCACTCCATCCTCCCCCTACCCATTCCCACCCATTACCTACAAATCTCAATCCCACCCAAACTCCAATCCCTATCTCCTTCCCCTCCCCCATCTTCCCTTACCCCAACCCCCTACCACCAACAACCCCATTCTCACCCACCCATACATCCCCAGTTAATTAACAATTCTTAACTTTCAATCCTTCTTGGGGACAGGGCTTGTAGATAAGGAGCTGACACTTACAATGTAAATGACTGGGCGGGGACAACTGTTAAGTATGGTAGGGACTTGCACAATCATTTGTCAACCTCATTTGATTCATGACTGGGATTTGTAGACAACCAGAGCCAGTCTTGCCCACTTGCAGAGCGGGTCATTCCAAGCATGACGTGAAGCCAGTCCCATGCGTATAGGGAAGCACGTCTAGACTTCTAGGAGATTTTATTCAATGAAAGTAATGCATGTGCGCTTTGTTTGATACTATGGCACTACCCTGCAGAATTGTAACCACGTCATCTTTTTCCAAGTTAAGTCCAAAGTCAAATTTTAGCAAGCAAAGTCGAGTCTCAAGTAGGTTTGGGCGGTTCCAATCTTTCTGGAGCCGGTTCTGGTTCTCGAAAAAGAACCGGTTTTGAGTCAGAACCGGCTCCTGAAAATTCAATGAAAAACATAAGCTCTTGAAATTACATGTAAAGAATAACAGTTTTACCTTGTGAGGTCCGTGTTCCTGATTATCTATGCATGACATGTGCATTCCCTCCTTTTGAGTCTGTATTACATAAAACCTAAAACACTTCACCGCTTCTCCATGTAGCCCCAAGCGGTCTGGCCACGCCCCATGCACGTTTATTATCCATTGTACAGGGCCAGTATTGGGTTCAATGCTCTCGCCTTGTGGCCCACCGCAAACTCAAAAGGGCTCTGTTGAGCTGTTTGTCTCCGACTCGTGAAATATTGTTTTGACTAGCCGGCCCGAGTGAATGTCCTGGGCCGTGCCTCTGCGATTAGTTTCCTATGGAGCAGATTCTCAGCTTTGAATTTTGTGCCCAGAAAATAGGTAATTTAATCTGGAACCGATTCTTTTCGGCCCAGAACCAGTGATAGCGAGTACCCAGTTCTTGAAAATATTGGACTTGCGGATCCGGTTCCCATGTTGGAACCGGTTGGAACCGGTTAGAACCGGGGAACCACCGGAACCGCGCAAGCCTAGTCTCAAATCAATTCTTTTCCAAGTCAAGTCAAGTCTCGAGTCAATTTTCCACAAGTCAAGTCAAGTCCCAAGTCATTTTTTTTTTTCAAGTCAGGTCAAGTCTCGAGTCATTTTCTTTTTAAATATTAGATGCACATACTACTTACGGGAACCAGTTTATGTGTTCGATGATGGAGCCGGTGTAGGCAATGTACTTTTCAAACAACCTCTCTCAAACACTTTATTTGAATCTAAAGCTCTAGTCTAAAAACGCATTTTGATATAATATTTTCAAACTTGTTCCCATCATGTTGGATGTTTGAAGTACATCTGACAAAATGTCCTTCCGAACGTTTTCGTTCCACACATGATATGTTAATTCTTGTTGCTTTATGGCAGATTGGGGGTAGCTGACATTTTCCAGTCATTTAAACCCCAGTTGCATTTAGCACGCTTACCAGTAAACCACTCAATGTGTACGTGTAACTATTATGGTCTCTATGGAATGACCACTCTATAACAACGGATGGCGCTCAGACTACGCACGGCACAAACTTCACCTCGCATGAGGTTGAGTATGATACGTTGTCCATAACACACGCACATCGATAGTCATGTACATGACATATGGAAGGCTAAGGATTCTCAGCTATCGTGTGTGGTTGCTAATTCATTATGTATTATCTGCATTCGTTTCAACCAACTACACTAGTGCGCACGAACACCCAGAGGTTTGTGGGTTTTTTTAACTTTAAGAATTATGTTAATGTCAGCAAGTCAAATTTATTTGAGTCAAGTCAAGTCTCAAGTCATTTTTTCCCAAGTCAAGTCAAGTCTTGAGTCAAAAAAATAGCAACTCGAGTCCAACTCGAGCCCGGATCAGCGACTCAAGTCAACAACACTGCTACCCAGGAAACACCAACATGAGATTCCTGGACTATCAGCATGCAACAAAAGTCATTTTTTATTCGTTTCACCGCACACCAGTCCAGACTACTCTTTCCCACTTAACTGTACATTGTATACATGCAACATGTGATGAACACTATAAAAGCCCATACCTTCACGTACTCATGATGCTGTTGCTCTAACGTCTGTAGATTTTTGGACACATATGCTGTAAAAACAAAAAATATAAAAACAAATAACATCACTATTATTATTGTAAAACTATTCTAGTGACCTTGACCTTTGACCTGTCAGCCCGAGAGCAACAGGCTTCTTAAGGGTGCATACCTGCAAATAAACTCCCATAGACACTAGTGCTAAATGCCCATACTTCAAAATTCTTTGAAAAATACTCAAAACTCTCACAGGTATTCAAGCTGCACAGAAAAATGATAATCAACATGTCATCTTTCGTTTTCTTTTCAATTTTTGGTGGGTTGACCACTGACTTTTCGAGATATTTTCACCCAAAGAAGACGACCCCTATTTTCCCATAAGCGGAAAAGTAGCCATCTTGAAAAACGATCCCTCCACAACATGGCAAAATAGCGCCACTTTCGAGCCCAATAGCATCCAAAATGCTCAGAATTGGAAGCCCCAAGTCCGGGCCAGAGGTTCATTACCATATCTTTTCAATTCCCCAATTTTACGGCGCTCAGAACTCTCTAATATAGAATATTTTGAGGGTATAACTTTTATTCATGAGCTTGGCGGATCGATTTACCGGTGTGCACCCTTTAATAGCAGGCAACTTTTAGATTTTAACACAAAACCACATTCAGGACAAGCAGAATATCACCAAAGTCAATATTTTGAAGAAAAAAATGAAAGAAAAATATTATCCGAGGTCGATATGAAGCCCAAAAATAGTGGGTTTTTTTGCCCCTGCTAAGCTGTAGAGCGCCCCCAGTGACAATAAATTGAGTTTCAGCTACTTTTCATCTCAAAATGCCCCCCCCCCCCTTTTCAACTAGCAATTGTTGTAATCGGGTGATAGCCTACTGCTCCCTTACGATTTGGGAGAATCCGTTACGGAAAAAACCCTTGTTGATACCTTTAAAACACTTTTTCCCCCTCCCCGTAGGTTCCGCCCACTGAAAAGACCACTGCCGGGGCACAGCGCATGCGCGAAACGGCCATCTTTGTTATTCTTTATAGGGTGCATACCTGCAAATAAACTCCCATAGACACTAGTGCTAAATGCCCATACTTCAAAATTCTTTGAAAAATACTCAAAACTCTCACAGGTATTCAAGCTGCACAGAAAAATGATAATCAACATGTCATCTTTCGTTTTCTTTTCAATTTTTGGTGGGTTGACCATTGACTTTTCGAGATATTTTCACCCAAAGAAGACGACCCCTATTTTCCCATAAGCGGAAAAGTAGCCATCTTGAAAAACGATCCCTCCACAACATGGCAAAATAGCGCCACTTTCGAGCCCAATAGCATCCAAAATGCTCAGAATTGGAAGCCCCAAGTCCGGGCCAGAGGTTCATTACCATATCTTTTCAATTCCCCAATTTTACGGCGCTCAGAACTCTCTAATATAGAATATTTTGAGGGTATAACTTTTATTCATGAGCTTGGCGGATCGATTTACCGGTGTGCACCCTTTAAACTATCGAGAACAACCCATAAACCAAATTTTAAATTCGTCAGTAAAGTATTTCTCAAGTTATCGCATTGACAAGATTTCTATTGTTTTATCTAGTGATCATCGACCTTGGCCTTTGACCTGTCAGCCCCAAAAGTAATAGGCTTTAATAAGACTAACAAGAACAACCCACAAACCAAATTTCAAGTTCCTACAATGTAAGCAAAGTATTTCTAAAGTAATCGGTGGGTGACCTTGACCTTTGACCTGTCAGCCCCAAAAGCAATACCGGTAGGCTTCTTAAGACTATCAAAAACATCAATATTTCTCTCTTTGTTGATATTTGCAAGAGATACTTTCAAATTTGGCAAAAATCGAAGCTCATCACCTCCAAAATTGCAGATTCTTGGCCAATCCATTTTGCAACAGGCTGGTTGAGTGCAAACATTACCGTTGTGATTTAGAATTCACGAGGCGAGGCGCACGTCGTGCATATATAGTAGTTAACATACTGTACATTACCCAGAATACCGGGCAATGTATGCCAGATTCACCGCTAGGTACCAGACCCCATTTTTAAAGTTCAAAGGACAATGGGGTCATGGAACCAGACTACCGCTTGGCATTTCACTCACCAACTCAATTTGCCGCCGACCTTTATTCCATTATACAGCAAACGTTAAACACACATTCATAAATACCTAAGACAGTTTATCCATTCCTATTTGTCAAGAGCCGGTCATGTAGCCGGTCTTAAATGGATGATAAAGACATGGCTGGCTGGTCTTAAAACACTTTTCCAGTGTCACATGAAATTTGGACTCCTAAAAATCTAATGCCTCTTACCGTTTTATTGGTTGAACGTTCACAATCATCACATAGGCAAGCGCAATACTACCAGTGAGTCAGAATTTTATAGTCCTACATTCACAACGCAATGGTCCAGCTGCATTTTGCGTGACATCCCGCAGTACGCACGACGTGTGCGCCAATCTCCATACATCTTACTCGCGAGCTGGACACTCCATTAGTTATTAGGGGTGTTTCAAAAACATAAAGTGAATTTGTTAAACAAATTCAGGTTTTTTTTACCAAAACGTTTTGATTTTTTTTTTTAACCAAAAAGGTATTTATGATTTTGGCTCGGGTAAATGTCAGCACCCAGACTCCAAGTGGTCTTAAACAGAGTGATTCAAACCTCCGAAACAGACATTTATTCCCTTAGTAAAAGCACAAACGGGAAATTATTTTTGATACTGTCCATATCATTCCTCAATATCAAAATTTTTGATATTTTTGTCGATATTATTCCTCAACATCGAAATTTTGATTAAAACAAACGATATTGGCAATATCGATATCAAAACAATATTGAATAATCAAGTAATATCAATAGTGGTCGCACAATTATTCAACACTTGTTGTTTCTCTTCATTTACACAATAATAGTGATTGTGCCGCAGGACATCTACATAATCACTAATGTTATTGTACAATGATGACAAAAGTTGCATAATCGTAAACTAACATTGAAAAACTGTGCAATGAAAATGAAATTTAGTGCTCACAGTTTTGTTTTCTGCCATTGTTGTTGATAGTTGGTCCCCTCTGCACTATGATATGAAAATTGCTATTGATAACCAGCTACAAATTGTTGTGCAACCACCTGCGGTTGGCTGGTTCCAAATCGACTAGCGTAGTCAAACATTATCTACTAGTCAGAGTTTGGGCAAACTTAAGTCGGACTTTGGTTAACCATTGGTCAACAATAGTTCTTGCGCGAAGCCACGGTAGCGATCAGGCTTAAGCCAGGCGTGCTTTCTAGTGCAGTCACGTGGCCACCCCTATGAGCCAGCGATTGGACAGCTGGTGTGCTAGCTGCATTTGGGCCAGCATTAGTGATCAGGCTAGCTTGAGATCCAGGATTTGTTGCGGTTAAGAGGCTGCAGTAAAATCCCCCCCCCCCCCCCCCGAAGTGTGGTGGGAGTCTACGAGTGATACTTACCTGTAGAGCCACTACATTTGCATATTCCCCTTACCAGCAGGTTCAATTTGCTAAGAGTTTATACAACAGCGCCCTCTATAATGCTACCCACACTGCCTTGCACCACAAGCGCCATGTTGGCTTCCTCTTTTCTCGTGCTCTACAGGATTAAGCTCTTGTTATCGAACTAGTGGGGAGGGGGGAGGGATGCTCTACAAGTAAGTATTGCTCGTAGACTCCCACCATACTTCTGGGGGGGGGGGGAGTTTACTTCACTCACTTACCTATAGAGCCACTACATTTTATAATTATTATTCTGGTTTATTCATATGAAAACACGAGGTAGGCAGCCACAAAAGAGTCGCTGATATAACCACGTTTACAGTTTACAGGAATTAAAAATTTTTAAATAGCAGTTAAAAGGAGTAGAAGCATAAAATTACAACAAAGTATAGGATCATGTATATACAGCAAAAAACAGCACAATATTAAAAAAATAATTTCAAAATTGAAGACAGATCATTCAGGGAAGTTGGTCTAATAAGAAGTACTCACTTGCACCTACATTGTAAACAATTAAGAATTAAAAAAGTTCAGCTAAGACAGGAATTGTAGACTTCATATATCTATCAGTTTTGCACTTGGGTACAACTAGCGTAGACGTGGAACTGTCTCTGAGTATTTTGATAGGAGGGGGGAGCATATATGTATTTCTAAATCTGGGGCAATGTAATAGTTTTGTGCCAAAGTTATACAGTAAGGTGTCTCTCCTAGTTTCAAGGCTAGAAATACCTAGAACGTCCAAAGCATTGGAATAACTGTGATACTGATGAGAGCCTAACATAATGCGACAAGCACGTTTTTGTACATTTTCAATTCTATAAGCCAGTTGTTTACTTATCGAGGTATGCCAGACTTGGCTGGCATACTCTAAAACTGGTCTGATGTAGCATATGAAGACCGAAACTAAGTAAGCCAAGGGAGCGTCATATTTCTTTAAGATACACAAGGTAAATAATCTTCTAGAGGCTCTAGAGACAATATCAGCAACATGAATGTCCCATTTGAGATCACTCTGAATCGTGACTCCCAAAAGTTTCATGTGATTAACCTTGTTTAAGGATATGTCATTAAGAGTAAACATGGGGTTAGGTGTAACTCGTCGTAGGAAACAGATCTTCATTACTTGACATTTAGCAGTTTTGGGGAGAACATCGTTAGCTTTGGACCGTTCTGAAAGTTCATCAAGATGGGATTGAAGTTGAGCATTTTCACCATATTTAACTATATCCCCAAGGGTCAGGTCGTCCACGTATTTCCAACATCTATGGCTTCCAATGGCAGCATCGTTAACTAGGACCAGAAATAATATAGGGCCTAACTTAGTTCCTTGCGGAATGCCGCAATCAATGGTTTTGACAGAGGAAGTGAGATTACCGAGTTTGGTGTTTTGGGTGCGATTGGAAAGGAAGCTGCAGACAATTGGAATAATTGAACTTCTAACCCCAAGGTTGATAAGTTTCTTGATAATGATATTATGATTAACAAGATCAAAGGCTTTTGTGAATGTTAATTGTTAATGTTTTTT